AACAAAATCTCACATTAAAGTTGGTCTCGGGTGTTGGAATAAAAATCAGACTAGAGAAGATTAGAACACTTTTACCATATGCTGTTGAAATAAGGTTAGATTTTCGATAAACAATGGGTGGGTATTTCATTGAATTTGTTATTCATTTTCATTTAGAAATACCCTATTTAAGGGATAAGTGCACTAAAAATCCTAAAACTTGTCACGAAAGTGCAATTGAGTCCTAAAACTTACAAAAAGTGCAATAATGTCCTAAAAACTTATCAAATTTGGTGCAATCGAGTTCTTTTGTTAACTCTATCCAACTTTGTTAACTCTTTTTAATATTTTCTTTCTTCTACGAGGCGATGGCATGGCTAAATCATGAAACATAAGACTAAAACAATATCATTTTGGTCCAAATATGATTTTTAATATAATTTTATTTAAATTAAATTTTAAAAATAAGCAAAATAAAAAAAAGAGAGAAAAAAAGGGCTTGTCGGCCATCCCCACCCTCGCCGGCCCTTCCTAGCGATGATGGGGTGGCGAGGCTGCCTGAATTTTCCCCTTTTTTATTTTTATATTTTAGCTTATTTTTTAAATTTAAGTTAAATAAAATTTATTTAAAAATCATATTTTGATCGAAACGACGTCGTTTTATCCACGTCGTCGTCATGTAAGATACAAAAAATAATAGCAAAAACCACGTCAATATTTTCTAATAGCCAAATTGGACAAGTTAACGGAAGAACTCGATTAAACCAATTTGACAAGTTTTAGGACTTAGATTGAACTTTTCGCAAGTTTTAGAACTCAATCGCACTTTTGTGACAAGTTTTAAGACTTCTGGTGCACTTATCTCCCTTTTTAATGAGCCAACTTCTTATTCATATACCAAAGGGATTGGCCCAAAGTGTCAAAGGGGTGAGACCTCAAGACCTTTCGGGCCATCAATTCGTACATCGATGCCACATTCATGTGATTATTTTCCTTAAGCCAGCATCGTCATTTTCAAAAGGGTATTCGTGCATTGAAATCATGTTTCTGTAACGAGCCTGAGAATTGTGTAATTGCACATTTTGAGTGTTTCGCACATCAAATGTTTAGTATGACCGATTGAAGCCAATTGAACTATCATGTGGATAGAATTTAAACATAGACTAAAAATATTCTAGCAAAAAATAACTTAGACTAAAAATAGTGCACCGGTTAAAATAGGATGTAGATAGAATAATTCGCCAAATAAATCGATACTGTGATTAAATTAGGCACTCTGTTGGGATGCACATGTGAGTTATGTTAAAAAAATCACACATCAGAGAAGTGGTGTGGTGTAGAGCAGTTATTATATCCTAGTTAGCCCATAACTCATGGGCATAAGTTTTTTAGTGAAAGTGGGTATGACTAGATATATTAACAGGCTCGAACTTAGACTTCCTCTTGGTGATTTCCCCAGGTAAAAGGTATCGGGCGTCTGCTGTGCGCTCCCTAACAAATTGGTATCTAGACATAATTTCCGGGTAGTAGGCATTGTGGTGTGACAATGTAGGTCAAGCTTACACGTGAGGGGGAGATTGTTAGGATGCACGTGTGAGTTATGTTGAAGAAATCCCACATCAGAGAATTGGTCTGGTGTAAAACAGTTAATATATTTTAGTTGGCCCATAACTTATTGGCTTAAGCTTTTGAGTGAAGGTGGGTCCACTAGATATGTTAACATCGTCGAACTTAGGCTCTCTCTTAGTGATCTCCCCGAGTGAAAAGTATTCGTGACATCTAGAAATTTTCATATTTGATAATAGTATTTATGACTAATTTCTATGACCAAATCGCTAGAAGTATGAGGTGTTAAAGTTCAGTTAATAGATTTCGACGTGCACATTCGTGCTGTAGGACGACAATACTTACTTTGCCGCCGAATTATTTGTAGAATAGGGCTAGTATGCTTCGAATTTCATATTTGATGATATTTAAGTTTTACATTTATTGAATTGAGATCTTCTAATTTTTAATATCTTTCATTGATGATTTTAGTGGATTCAAAATAATTTCGGACTCACCAAGGTTCAGAATCAATGTTCAAAACAAATATCGGTTTCCTAAATCTCTATTTCTCTTCAGTTGGCACGCCCATTTCTTTTTCCCTACCCAAAATTTTTAATCCTTACTTTGTTTTGAGACATTGAACTTAGTAGCTTTGACATCATGCATGACATCCTCAATTTTAACCATGGTCCATCAATACATGTGTGACTCATGCCTAAATTTCATTAATGCTTTGAGTGACTCATGCCTATAGTCATTGATGTATTGGTGATTCATAACACACTTGGCCAATGAAGAAAAGGTTCCCTCAAATATCTCCTCTTGTGGCCAATACCATCAAGCCATTTGCACCTTAGCTATTAGCATAGGGGCCACGTGATACAATTTCATTGGAACACTTACCCCTTCATTTATTAAGACAATTAATGCCCTAATTATGGCTAAATTCATCTCACCCTTTCCTTTCTTACCTTGATCAATGGAGAGATTTTAAAAGGAATGCAAGACCCCATTTCATCAAACTTCCAATCCTTGCTCATCAACCTCATTCCATTTACCTTCACCCACCAACTTCTTTTGGCAACTTTCATTTTCAATCCACTCGTATTTCTAAAGTTTCTAGCCCGCTCTTACGAGTTGGACAAGGTGACCAAAGCTTTAAACCGCTCAATTTTCTCAAAGTAAGCGAAAGCTCTAGGGACTAAGTTAGGTTATTCTACTTAATACTCTTGACTTGATTGTATGATAGTTGAGATTTTAGTTTGAATTCGAATGCTATGTGCAAAAAGTTCTCATGATCGGATGTTGAAAGATTATGTTTTGTTTGAATTGATTTTATAAGTTCTTACATGTTTTTGAAGCATTCTAGTGTATTACATAAGAATTGAGAGCATATTTGATGGGAAAAGTGTGAAAATGGAGGAGTTGTTAAATTGGAAGTGTTGAAAATAATTTAGAAAAACTTTTCTGAAAATATCAAGTCGTAGTAATGAAGTTGTTGATTTCTCTAGAAAGTTGCCGATAGTCGACAAGCCAACGATCTTACCGATATTATCGGTATCGCCGTGCCGAAGATTGTTCGAATTAGGCCATTAATTCGGTCCTTGAAACTAGTAAACCAAGGAGACCCACAACCGATTAAAGTTAATTCTCATATGTTCAAGGTCTACTAAGTGTTGTCGATTAATCACATGGTCGATCTTTGAGTTGTCGATGTTTATCTTGCCGATCAATTGAGTTATGGATGTTTATATTACTAATTCTCTAAAAATGTTATCATGACTTGCATGAAAATGAAAAGAGGTAAGTGTGTTATCATTACTTATGTAAGTGATGCATGGAAAAGACGTGACGATTGTATTTCGGTATTGATTTGTATAAGATGATGTCGTATACCGAATGTTGGTTGTGAGAATGACTATGCATAAAAGGATGTTGTTTGTTGGACGTTAATTGTGGAAATGATGTGAGTATCTCATATTGATTGTTGAACATACGCATGTGTATGAGAAATGTAAATAATGATGTGATAATGATCCGTCGTCTACGAGATCGTAGCGACGGTGCCCTATGAACCGGGATGCCTTGTTAGATATAAGGGATGCCTCGGAGTTGAGATGCCCCGCGAATTGGGATGCCTCATCAGATGTATGGAATGCCTCGTAAATTGAGATGCCCCGTGAATCGAGAAGACCCGCAAATCGAGATATGATGAAATAATGAACATGATGCATGCTCATGTTTATATGTACATTCATGATGATAAGATACTAGGTGATACTGGTGCATTATGATATGATATGTCATCCGCCTACAATCGAGTGAAAATATTATGTACTAGTATATGTCACGATGATAATAATAATAATAAAAATAATGCGTATGCTCATGCATTTAAGTGTGGTTTGATTGCTTGTGCATGTTAACGTCGGGTTGAGTGTGAAGGTGAATTCCTACCTTAGACTTAGAGGTTTCATTTACTGGGTTTCCGCTCATCCTTTATTTTTTAGTTTGTAGGATGGTCCTCCTTGACATGACCATGGAGGGGGCGAGATGTTATCAGAGGCCCTTAATCTCCTGACTTGATGGTGGCTCACTTTTGCGTTATTGTGGGTAGGGGTGTCAGAACCGAACCGGAAAACCAAACCGAGATACAAACCGAACCGAAAATTTCGTGCATTTCGGTTCGGTTTCGGTTTCGGTTCGGATCATCAAAATTAACCACTTTTTTTTTCAGTTCGGTTCGGATCGAACCGAACTGAAATAAACACTCTTCCTCTCGCCGAGACCATCCTCACGGCCCTCCACACTCTTCCTCTCGCCGCCGTCCCTGCTCTTCTTCTTCTTCCTCCCCATCGACTCGCTCGAGTCTCAAGCCTCGACCTTGCCATTGCCACCCCCGCCGCCGCTGTTGCTGGTGACGACACTCATCTCTCTCAAACCCTAAACGCGGAAAACCCCCCAAATCATCAAACCCCACGAGGAGGCCCAGGAACCCCACCGCCCCTACTCCAATTCGGAACCGCGAGGATCACAACCGCTAGACCTCGAGAGCGTTGAGCTTGTCGCCGCTGGTGCGGGGCACCTGAAGCGTCGCACAGCCGACCACAGAGCAGTGAACCCAACCGAACCGAACCGAACCGGGGGAGGGAGAGCTGAGATCACGAGATCCAGATCACGTCTCTCTCAAAGCAACAAGCCTCCAACAATTTGTCCAAGATTCGGCTCCTATAGGTCACCTCTCTCCCTCTCTCTCTCTGCTTCTCGATTTTCCTACTGATTGTTTTCCCTCTGATGGGTGTAATTGCTCTTCCCTTTTTCGCTTTTTGAATTCCGTTTGCCGCTGGTTGTCTTTGCATGATGATCGATGGGATCGGCGTGGATTTCTGTTTCTTGGCAAAGTGGGGGCCGTTCTTATGTATGCATTTTCTTACTGTAGGGATTTGAGAGGCGCGGAGAAGGTGTTTGTCGAAATGGCTGAGAGGGACGTCATTTCGTGGAATACTATTATTGGAGTCTTTTCGGTGAATGGTTTGTATGAGGAGGCGTTTGTGTTTTTCAACAACATGAATTCGAGGTCTGGTACGAGGCCTAATACGCTGAGTGTTATTAGTGTTTTGCCGGTATGCGTCGGGCTCGAGGATGAAGTCATGGCGTCTCAGATTCATGCTTACACAGTCAAGGTTGGGTTGGTTACAAATGTGACTGTTGGGAACGCGTTGGTGGATGCATATGCAAAGTGTGGGAATGCAGTGGCTTCGAGGCATTTCTTTGACGAGATGGTTGAGAAGAATGTAGTTTTGTGGAATGAGATCATAATGGGCTTTGCTTATGGGGAGCGCAATGTAGATGCTTTTGATCATAGATGTTTTTTATTAGATTTATTGCTTTATTATAATCGTGGCTTTCATACTTCATTTCCTCTGAGATTGCAAATGATTCGATAGATGTCTCTTGGTTCCAATAATGTTGGATAATGAACCAACAAGCGTGTAGAAGCTTGTAGTTGTTTGGTAAGATAAATGGTCTCTTTGTTAACCTGTACCAGGGCATCGAGAAGAAAACTGTGAAGTTGCAAGGAAGCGAGAAGGCAGTTGTTGCACGCCATGAAGCTAGTCATGCAGTGGTAGGCACTGTTGTAGCAAATCTGCTTCCTAGACAGCCACGGGTTGAGGTATATTCTAGCTATGACTTAGCTAGTCCTGGTCTTTTTGTCAAGGCCTTTGCTGTCATGAAAATTGCATGGTTATATGCGGTGCCTAAGAATTTGATTGTACTGCATATGCAGTGGGTTTTCTTTCTTACTATTGTTCAGTTTTTTCAAGCGAAGTTTTTAGGGAAAATTTAAAATGACATTATTCGGAATAGAGTTATAATTCCTAGATTATTTTTAATGGAATTGCAGTATTTGCCTTACCCAATATTTTGAGATCATGTTTTGCTGGTCACTAATGGGTTATATAGGCTGTATGTTTCTGTTTTTGCCCTTCGCCTTATCTTTTTTCTTTTCTTTATGGTACTTTAATGGCCACCCCTTCTATTAAGTATTTGCTTGTCATACAAAGTTTGTTAACTTGACACAGCCACTTGAATTATAATAATTTCAGGTTTTAATTGTCATAGATTGGTAGATGTCTACTTCAATGAGTGAATCTAGTGGCACAAATAGGAGGAGGACGAGATCTTCTGCGTGGGAACACTATAAAAGGACAGAAAACCCAGACAAAGCTGAATATTTATATTGCGGGGCTATTATTGGTTGTTCTACCTCTCAAGGGACTAGTGCGATGCGTAATCATTTAGGTAGATGTAAGGAATTTCCATATGCGAACGTTGAGAAAAGGCAAAACAGTGTCTCGGGTCAACTTGATGGGGTTGGTAGTTCTAGGTCATTTGGTCCATGGAAATTTGACCAAGAAACTAGTCGAAAAGACCTAGCAGCGATGTTCATCATTGGTGAATTACCCTTTAAGTTTGTGGAAAATGAGGCATTTCGGCAATTCGTGAGTAGGATCCAGCCGAAGTTGTCAATCCCCTCAAGGAACACATTGAGGGAGAACTGTTATAAGTTTTACTTGGAGGAAAGATGCAAATTGAAAAAATATTTTTTCGATACATCTCCAAGGGTTTGTCTCACAACGGACACGTGGACTTCTTGTCAAAATATGAGTTACATGTGTCTCACTGCTCATTTTGTTGATGGTGATTGGAAGTTGCAAAAGAAAATCTTGAATTTTTGTCAAATCCCGGGACATTCTGCTGAAATTATAGAAAAAGCAGTGGAGAAATGCTTGACTAGTTGGGGGATTAAATACGTTTTTTCTATAACCGTGGATAATGCGAGCTCAAATGACTTGGGTGTTCAATACTTGAAAAAAAGACTCCACTCTTGGAACACTCTAATTTTGTCGAGTGAGTTACTCCATGTGAGATGTTGTGCTCACATATTGAGTTTGATTGTGAGAGAGGGTTTGAAAGATATAGATGATTCTATTGTTAGAATACGCTCAGCTGTGCGTTATGTGAGGTCTTCTCCTGCGAGGTTGCAACGGTTTAAGGAGTGCATTGAGCTAGAAAACATCGAGTCCAAGAGTCTTGTATGTTTGGACATGGAGACTCGTTGGAACTCAACATACCTGATGTTGGAAGCAGCTTTGAAGTTTCAGAAGGCTTTTATCTTACTAGATATTCGGGATAGCAAGTTTGTTGAAGAGCTTTCCAAGGTGAGGGGGTTGCCTACTAGTGATGATTGGGAATATGCCTGTCAATTTCTTCCTTTCTTGAAGTTGTTCTATGATACGACTTTAAAAGTATCGGGTTGTTCTTATGTCACTAGTAATGATATGGCGAAAGATGTCTATGAGATTTTTATGATGATTGAGAGATATTGTGTGAATGAGGATAGGAGTTTGCAGGAAATGGCCAAGAGAATGAAGACCAAATTCAATAAGTATTTTGGCAATGTGAACAACATCAATCTAACATGGTTCATTGCATGCATACTTGACCCTCGACATAAGTGGGAGTATGTGAAATGGATGATTAATCAAGTTTATGAAAGCAAGCGGGCAGAAACTTTACGAGATAAAGTAACATCATCTCTAACGTCATTGTTCGAGCAATACCGCACCGGTATATGCCCCCAAAGCAATTTAAGGTCAAAGGGTACAAGGACAATGAACGTGTCAATGTCTCCTGTGGTTGGTGCGGACATTATGACTGCAATGTATCTTAGCCAAATGGGACAAGAATATTTGGAAGAAAAATCCGAATTAGATAAGTATTTGGAAGAAAGATGTGAACGCTATAGCGCCGACTTTGATATCTTAAATTGGTGGAAAGTCAATTCTTCGAGATATCTTATCCTCTCTTCCATTACTCGAGATATTTTGGCCGTGCCCATCTCAACTGTAGCATCAGAGGCTCCATTCAGCACAGGAGGTCGTGTACTTGACGTGTTTCGTAGCTCCTTGACCCCAAGCATGGTGGAGGCTCTTATATGTATGCAAGATTGGCTACGATCCACACCACTTTCACTTTCGATTGAGGAGGACTTAGAAGAACTCGAAAATTTTGAGTCAGGTGAGAAAAAATTATCGTGGAATATTTTATATCCTTTAATATTGCAATAGATACTTCAATTCTCATTTTTATTGTGAATTTAATGTAGAGTTGTCAACTGTGACCGCGGAGCTGAACTCGATATTGGTTTCCCTTGATGATTGACGAACAAAAGAGAAGTAGTCATCTCCTTGATGTGTAAAGAAAGCAAGTGAGTACTGGAGATTCTGTATTCTTTTTTGCAGCTAATCCATTATTCAATTATTTTTAAAAAAGGAAGGCTCAAAAACTGCACATTTCTAATTCATCAATTGAAAAACCAAATCTACAGTGGGGTTGCAGAAAATATTATCTCTCCTAGAGTCAGATGATGCCAATGTACGGATTCATGCTGTGAAGGTGGTGGCCAACCTTGCTGCTGAAGATGGATTTCCATCTTTCTCTTGAAACTTCTTATCAGATGTGAATTGAATGTCATCCCTTTCTCTGGGAGCATGTTTGTATCTTCTTAAGTAAATTTCTCAATCAATATGGCTGGGATGGATATTCGCCGAACTGATTGGGTTCTGAAAGACCCTTTTGTCTTTTTTTCCAGAACACGTGAATTGGTCTCTGCAGCTCACAATGATTGATGGTGGTTGTTTAAAGAGAGTTGACTGGCCTCACTGGAGGCCATAAATGTTCATGTAGGCCCGCCAATAATCTCCATCTTCAATAATTGCAGCTCTTCATTTCTCTATTCCAAATAATGCGATTGACGTGATGAAGTTAGGCGCACCGAAACTGGGGGGAGACTAGAGAAAGGATCGAAACGACCACCTGAAACTTTTGTTGTTCAGAGACACCTTAGCCAGCTTAGGGTATAGATTAGGATGGATGGCGCCAAATAGTCATCTGAGGAACAGGAGAAAGAAAAGATACAGCGACAAAGAATTCCCAAAAGCTTTTGAACAATGGACAGTTTTATCTGTTCTGCAAACAACTTTCAATTTTTATCACCATCAATCTCTTGCAATTAGTCATTTTGTACACATCATGTGGATGCAATTACAAGAAGAGCCATGTCAAGGGCGATATCAAAACAAGAATCCTCCCATGGCGCTATTGAACAAATCACCCGATATTACAACTCCCCAAGTAGAAAAGCAGAAAAATTCAACCTCGACTCAAGCAAAGACAATATCGCTCAAAATGCCGGCTATGTAGCAAAACTCAATACACTCTGTTGTTTATAGTGTGGTAGAGAGACTTCAGTTGTGGAGAAAACCATCTAAAATTATCATAAATACATTTTATTATCAAGAACTAGTAATTAAATATTAAACATCTTTTTATGTGAAATTATCATGCCAATTCATGCATATTATCAAAATTTTTCTGGTTTCTTTCTTCTTCTTCTTCTTAAATTAGCTATGCATAGATCAAACTAAGTATACATAATCTACTGAAGCCATTATCTTTTTCTACAACGTGATGAAATTTCTAGAGCTTTCTTAATTTTTTATCATAAAATTATCATAAATACATATTATTATCAAAAAATTATCATAAAAAAATTATCATGAAATTTTTTTCATAAAAACAGAAAACCGAGCCATGAATAAAAAAGCAAAAAAAAAACAAAAAAGAAGAAGAAACCGAAAACCGAACCGAACGAAATCGGCTTATCGGTTCGGTTCCAATTCGGTTTGGTTCCTATTTGGTTCGGTTCAAGGAGGCACCCTTAACGGTTCGGTTTTTCAAGAAAACCGAACCGAACCGAACCGTTTACACCCCTAATTGTGGGGGTAGTGTGCTAGTAGACCCAACTTTCTTCCCAGAACTATTTATTATGTTGTGTTAATAACTACTTATGTATGTATAAAGTTGAAGATATGTATATTATGAAACTCGTGCAATTTTCTTGTAAGGGATGTTGTGAAATATTTGTTGTGCTTCCGCATGCGTAATTATAATTATAAAAAAAAAGGAAAGGACACATGTCGCGCGTGACATTCTAGGGCATTACAATATCAGGTTTTTGCTGCGCGCTCCCTAACAAATTGGTATCTAGGCATAATTTCAAGGCAGTAGGCCGAGCTCACACATGAGGGGAAGATTGCTAAGATATACGTGTGAGTTGTGTTAAAGAAATCCCACATCAGAGAATTGATGTGATATAAAGCAATTAATATAACCTAGTTGGTTCATAACTCACTAGTTTAAGCTTGTGAATTTTAAGGGACATATATTCTTTGGTGTCTCAATCCAGGGGTAATCTTTCATCATTACTTAAAATTGAAATTCATCAATAAACACCACTCTCCACTTCTCTCCATTTTCTAAATGTAATTAGGCAAACAAAAATAGTAAAATGGTAATTACAGGCCCCGGTTGCGATAACGCGCATCGATTGTGGCCAAGATCGTGACCAAGTGCATCATGGGTCATGGCCCAAGGTTACAATCGAGGTAGTGACCGAGTGCATCGATTGTGGCCGAGGTGGTGGCTCACGGTGCAGCCGAGGTTGTGACCAAGATGGCCCAAGCTTTTTTATTGTAAAGGATCAGGACAACAAAATAAGTTTGGGAGGACACATTGAAGAAGTTGGAAAAAGTACCTCACAATGAAGTTGAGAAAAAGTTGAGGATAAGCTACAATGCTCTAGATCACTAGCAGAAGCAGATCTTTCTTGACATAGCATGTCTGTTTATTGGATTTGACAAGAGAATTGTAGTTTACTTATGGAAGGTAGGTCTAACTTGATATATTAACATGCTTGAACTTAGGCTCTCTTTTGGTGATTTCCCCGAGTGAAAAGTATCGAGTTTCTGTTGTGCACTCCCTAACAAATTGGTATCTATGCATAATTTCCGAGCAGTAGGGCGACTCACACACGAGAGGGAGATTGCTAGGATGCACGTGTAAGTTGTGTTAAAGAAATCACACATCAGAGAATTGGTGTGGTGTAGAGCAGTTAATATAACCTAGTTGGCTTATAACTCATTGGCTTAAGCTTTCGAGCGAAGATGAGTCCGACTAGATATGTTAATGGAGTTTTTTAGTGAAGGTGGGTCCGACTATATATGTTAACAGACTCGAACTTAAACTCCCTCTTCATGATATCCCCAAACGAAAGGTATTGGGCTTCTGCTGTGCATTCCCTAGCACACTCTGATCGAATTATCATGTTGAATGAGTTGTCATGTTGGTTGATGATTGAACTTGCATACATGTTGACTCAAAATGAATGCTGATTTTGAGGGAAAAAATTATCGATGTTGATTTGATCATTGCTTTGATTGATTTGCAAGCTCTTGTGATATTTAGGATCAGAACTCATTCCCTTAATTTTCATTCAAACTCGCGCGTGTTGGACCGGACTCGTTCCTTTGTTCCGTTAAACATTCAAACGTTTAAGGGGATGGATAGGTACACTTTAGAAAACTTGATTAGGAATTTTTTTTTTTGTCGGAAGATCAAGAATTTTGATCATCGCTACTCTACCCTCTTTTGTTTTAATTACTTAAGATAATTTTTTCCTCATTTTCACAGTTTTCACATGTTAATTGCGCACATGATATCTAAATGGAGCCATCCGAAACACTAGACTCAATCTTACCTCACCCGATGCAACACCAGATGAGCATATGTCATAAATGATATGTAAAACAAATTTCATGCATACTGTATCAAAATACCCAAACAAAATTAGCATAACAAAGCAGAAGTCGTTGATGCAATCAACTGAAGAAGTTCTTCCATTGTCATTTAAAGGTTTCTCGAGAGTCATTGGTAATTTCGGGACTCCAGTACATGCATAGTAGGTTCCGGTCTCCAAAAAATAGGAAACCTGTTCCAACGGGTAAGTTTCATATTGCAAGGTGGAATCTGTGCAGAACTGAAACCGCTCGCGCTCAATTTAAAGGTTTCTTAAGATCTTTTTCACGAAGCTCCAAATTTAGTTCCCTATGGAAGATCGAAGATTCATTTATGTTTAATGAACATCGCGGGATAATATTCTTGGTAAAAATACTCAAACTGGTGCCATTGAACCTTGGCATTAAATTACGAATCTGCCAGCACAATAAAGAAATCCAGACCTAGTCCCCGCCAAAAATGGAAAAAGGGGCCCACCATTCCCGCCAAATCAATCCCTCCTTTTCCCGCCAAATCTCTCCCTCCCTCCTTTCCTCTATCCTCCTCGCTTCTCTCTCTCTCTCTCTGTCTACCTGCAGCAGCGGCAGCAGCAGCAATGGAGACGCCCCGCGGCTCGGCGAAGCGGAAGCGCCCGACCTCGTCTCTCTTCGCCCCCCTCTTCAGCCTCTTCACCCGCTCCGAAGCTCCCGCCGCCGACCCTCGCCGCAAGCTCCCCCGGCGGAACCTCGACCTCCTCCTCCCCGACGACGCCGGCGGCGGAGGCGGCGGCGGCGAGGGCTCGTCTCGCGCCCTCCTCATCAAAGATCTCCGCAGCCGGCGCGTCTTCTCCCTCAGCCCGAAGCCGAAGTCGTGCGGCGGCGGCGGCGGCGGGGACCGGTTCGGTCCGGATCGCGGGGAGGGGAAGCTCGAGGAACCCGGCTCGCCGCCGCGCGGGGACGAGGGCGAGGGTGAGGCCGGTAAGGGCGATGTGGACGCGACTTTGTCTTCGATTATTAGGGAGTACTGCTCTGAGGAGGATGGTGGGATGGATTTGTACAAGGATGATGATGAGATGTCGGGAGAGGACGAAGGACTCGCACAGGCGGATTTTTGGGCCGAGCGCGGTGGAGCGAACGACGAGGAAAGCAATCGGATGCCCCCCGATTCGCCCGAGAAGGACGTCGCCGCCACTGAGACGGCGAAGGGATCGGACGATTCCGGCGACGACTGCGTCCAGACCACTCCCCCCGAAGCGACGGATGTAATCCTGAGCCCGGATGTGGAAGAAAGTGGAGGCAATTGCGAACTCCAGAGGGCAGATCCGCTTTCGGTTGAGCCGCCGCAGGAATCCTCCCAGGATGAAGGTTCTGGAGCTGAACTTAGTAAAGGAAACGACGACTCCGCTTCGAAGGGCGAACCGGTGAGATTCTAACATTTCTCTGACTCTTTAATCGTGTAGTTTACTGGGTCTGTTCTGTTCATACCAAAGAGAGAACCTGAGGTTTTAGATGATTCTTCTTGGGTCTTATTAATGATGGAGATTGAGTGAATGGGTTTCTTTAATAGGGTCTTAATCCGCGTTTTAAATTGAGAAGAAGAATATACAAGAGGCCTGGCTCGATCAGCTACAGGCGATTGCTCCCTTACTTGACAGACATGGCAATGGAAGATTCCTGTAATTCCTCTTTCCTCTCCTCTGAATTGCTCTTTGATTTGATTTCACCAGATGGGGACACTGAGTCTCCACATTGTGTATTGTATGGTTAGGCACTACTAGAGATTCCGGGAGTCAAAAGCATGAAAAGGGTATGGAAGAAAAGCCACCACACGCCTCTATCAGCTCTGGCTACAAAGATATTCCCATGGATGAATCTAGTAAGCATGGATCTGACAAACCTATGGCCACAACTGTTCCCCTGGTTATGCCAACAGTCGATATATCGAAGGATAGAAACTGTCCTGACACCCCTGCTATGGTGAACAAAGACTCGGGCAATCGAGTTATTGATGGCCAGATAGATATTGGAAAGCCTGAATTGATCATACAAGGCTCTACTCTCTGTGCCGATAGTAAAGTCGGAACTTATACTGATGTTGGAAAAGAAAAAGGAGAGGCGGAGGTAATTGATGGTAGGCTTTCTGGAATGGCTGATGATTTGAACAGTGTAAAATCAGTCTCATCTTTGTCTGAGGAGGAGAATATAGTTGATCAATGCTTCCATGAACAGAAGCATACGATGGATGGTGGAATGAAACGATTTCAGCTTATTTCTCCACCCAATTCCAGCAGCGGAGAAAATGGCAACTCAATTTTCGCAGAAACCAGAGGTAGTGATCGTGTTGTGGTTTTGAATCGGACGATTGATACAAATGAAGCAAGATTAATCCCCTCATCAGATTCAGGGATTTTTGGAGAACCAGGGGTAAATGAAACTGAAGGTAACAAAATTAAAATTGTTACGGCTAGTGCAAATGGGGTGCCACAGAATTCTCCTAGCAATACCAGTAACGTGGGCTACTCCATTCCTGACCAAAATAGCGGAAATTCTACAAAGAGCAAAATGGTGAGGCGCCATCTTTAACAGAAACTTTAGAATTCTCTACTACACGGGAGAAGAAAGTTCGCATCTAAAAGTTGAAAGGAGACGATATTCTTTGCAATTTTTTTTATCTCTTGCTTCCTGGCTAATATCGGTTATTGTGACGTTGGAACAGGTGCTAAATCCATGCTCGAGACTGAAGGTGTTCAAAAATCCAAATTCATTCAGTTACAAGAGGATGCTGCCCTATCTTATGGAAATTGCAAAAGATGACTCTTGTAATCACACGACCTCTGCTAATGTTTTTCTTCTGTATTACTTTATTTACATCAAAATATAATTCCCTTTAAACGTTCTGTAGGTACCCCAGGAAATGGTCAATGCTTGAAACTTCTGACTAGGTCTAAAGAGGAGTCTTCTTCACCACCTGTGCTCTCTGACTCTCAGAACTTTCCAACTGATAAGTGCAATGGTGATCGTGGTTCAGCTGATCTTAACATTAGCTCTCCAACATCAGTGGCACATGGTACTTGTTTGCAAAAGGATGAAGATATTCTTGCCGAACATGTCATACAAAGTACAGATAGCGAGTACGAATCTTCTTATGGTATTGTGAATGCGAGAGATGAAGGGCATCTGCAGGCAGCATCATCATATCCTATTGCTGTTCATCAATTGAAAGAGGATTCCCACACTATGTCACGTCAGTCATCTGAACATGTTGGGGGGTTACATGGAAATTCAACACCAGAACTTTCTTCTGATGCAAAAGAAACAGGAGCAGAGGGACCAATGCAACATCTTTCTCAAATTGGGGCTTCAGATCTGTACGGGTTTCCTGATGAAGCTTCAAGAAGGGGAATTTTGAAAAGAAATCCGCGAGGATGCCGTGGGCTGTGTAGTTGTTTGACCTGTGCTTCCTTCCGGCTCAATGCAGAAAGGGCATTTGAGTTCTCAAGGAACCAGATGAAGGATGCTGAAGAAATGACTTTTGATTTGATAGATCAACTATCTCAACTAAGGAGCATAGTGGAAAAAATCAACTGTGGTGCTAGCAATCTTGCTATGCTGCAGGTAAATCACCAAACTGATATGCCGAGTCTACTTTCATCCTATCATGTCTTACAGCTGCATTTAAGATGTATTATCTGGTGTAGCTTGATGTTTGATTTTTCATGGGTTATATCATCACATAGAATGTTCTTATGATCCACTCCATGATCCTTGTGTGTGCATGCTCATGTGCGTGTCCCCCCAACCATGTAACTATGCATGGTTTTATGGCAAAACGTTTGTGGAGTAGTTTTTCCAGTTTTTTATATGATTCTGTTGTGGATGCAATCAATTTAGTTCTTTCATTACATTTTTTTCTTTACTAAAGTACTTGTCGGAAGAACAATCATTAAACGAGATACGATCACGAATATCTCACAAGCACCTGGATGTCTTGAATCATGTAAATGAAGCTCCATTCTCGGTCATCTCAGGTGCTTGGCTTCGACAGAAAGGCATGAAGCTGGTTGTATTGCTAGTTTCTGTGTAGATCCTCAAATGTAATATGAGTATTTATGGTTTTTTGCGTTTCCTACTCATACCTCGTAAAAATGATAAATATGTCTTGTACATTTTGCTGAACGAGTCGTCATGGAAGCCTTTTAACTTTTTAGAAGTACCGAGAAAGATGGCTTTGGTCACAACAGTCGCATCTGAAATGCACATTGACAGTGCCAGAAGTATTTTTCTGCTTGTTTATAAGGTGGGAGAGACATCATTGTGTTAAAGGAATAGGAAGCTTGGTGGCTTGTCATTTCATTGTACTTGTTTGCTTGATCAGATGATTTTAATAAGGTATTAAGCTTCTGGTTTCTTTGTGCAATTCCCCTCTAATGTATGAAGATCATTCTAGGAATCTCAGGTAAGAGAAGCTTGTAGAAGAGCATCAGAAGCTGAAGAAGTAGCAAAACACCGCCTTTCTCAAATGAATGATGAACTCAATATCCACTGTAGAGCTGTTGTAAGTAGTAGTCTAAACCATACTCTTATTGTCTCGTGATTCTTCAAATTACCTAGTTCTGACAATTTATGAAACTGATCAAGTATTGTTGATCTCAATGGTGACAGCGCTTGCATCGCCCGAGGGTAATGTTCAATGACAGCACAGAAAACCAACTGCAAAGCAAAGGGTCTTGAGTAATGTCCTTGTTGATTCTGTTCTATTTGTGCAACACTAGTATCGTTTGAAGATGTTAGGAATTATTTGAAGTAGCAAGGTCAGAGATCTGATCGGGTCAACGTGAGTTGGGTGCGCTTTATGGAACCTGGAGATGAGGGATGATACTGGCTTTGACGTGGTCGGATGTAAAGATTTCCCATAGAATATGGTTGGAGCATTGAGGTGCACATTATGCAGTCTTATTTGGCCAAAGCACGATAGTACGGTTCAGGGGAACGAGTTTTAGATTCAGAGTATGTTAAAGCGAGGAACTTCCTGGGATACTGCTATCAAGAAGAGAATTTCCAAAATGATGAGTGTCCTGTAAGAAGAGATCCACTTCCGTGTATATTTTGTTGCCACGCTTTGACGACATTAACTAATAGGATATAATTATAAGATTGTTGCATATGAGTTTACAGATTGCCATTCTTGTTTTTCTGACCAGTTTCCTCTTAACCAGTAACACTGTACACATGTTCCCTTAGTACCAATTTAAATTGGTTTAATACCACAAAAAATACACGTGACAAATTTATTCCAAATAAGTGTACTTGTGATAAATTTACTTCAAATCAATATCCCAAACTAGTATATTGTGATAAATTTTTCTTCCGTAAGTTTCCGTTAAATCTTATCGTCAAATTGCTAAGTTAGACGACATGTGACTTGACTGGTGTATTAGTTTGAGATTTTACTTTTTGTTTGTATCAGTTTGTGACCTTTCGTGAGTATTAATTTAGTTTAACGGAAATTAATGGAGAATGAATTTTTCACAGGTGTACTAATTTGGAGATTTTAATGGTTGAAAAACTAATTTGAAGTAAATTTATCACAAATATATTAATTTAGGGTTTTTCGTGATATTATCCCGTTTAAATTATTCTTTTGACCGATTCAAGCACCATCAGTTTTCATGAGCAAGACACAGCTGTAATCACGCAAAATGGAAGAGGGAGTCGTTCTGGGACACCTTTGACAAGCCCACAGGCTAGGATCTTATGGAGTTCAGATCTTGCTCTCGTTCAAAATTTGTCCTATCTAGTCCTTGACGAGGGACTTTACTTTTACTGTATCTTGTTTCCAACTTGGTGTTTTCTACTTTTCATTCAAAGCATGGATCCGATTTGCTTCCCCCTGCATCACAATATTCCCCGAATTTTCTGCTACTGCGAGATTTACTACCATCCTTGCTGCTCGAGCTTCATCCTGACTAGTTCAAAAGAACCACAATTACCTCTATCAATCCCTTCTGGGGACCCCTCTTTATCGAGTTCGTTGTCTACCCTGCTAATTAAGAAGCGATACTCGAACAAGGCAGAACTTTTTAGGCTGCTGTGTTAAATCCCGTCTACTTTAATCTGAATTTTTTTTATCACGAACACTCAATAAAATGCATCTTTATATGAGCTGTCTACGATCGTATGACATGTTCTACAGGTGGACATATATGGTTATATTAAGACCGTGACAGTAATTGAATTTTTCACTATGCAGAAACTTCCTTTTATTTTGATGGTAAAGATCACTTCTAGATCTTATTATCTGTTTGCTTAATTGCGAGTGAGCAAAAGCATGGTTTTCAAATGCTCGTGAACTATTCTTGACAATCTTTCTTGCCCACCAAACGGCTTTAATTGAAAAGGGAAAAAGAAATGATATTCCTGTGCTTAGTCGTTTAATGCATCAAGTGTTGGATTGCACTGGGAGCCGCTTTGCATCAAGGAATGTCCGTCTTTCTTTCGATATTTGCTCTGAATATCACGTTCACGTGGATTATTTTCCAAAGCCGAGAGCTAATTGATTTTCAGGAATGCATGTTCGCAATGGTTACCAACTTGATTCATCCGGATGCCACCGTCAAAATCATAGAAATGTTTCGAAGACCGATGATTTTGCCAGCTTCTTGATCTCTGTGAGACCGTATTATATGAGACACTGAACAAGAAAAGAGAATGCAAAGTTTTATTACATAAAGTAGAACAACTGCTCCAAACATATCCTCATGTCACAACCGTGGCTTTACAGAGTCGGTGATATGGCAACATTCAATCCCCCCCAGCCTTCAACAAGAAACAATGTACAAAGGCCATTTATTATTATTTCCCCACCCCAGAATCAAGACATTACAAGCGAGTCGTGACTTGAACATGTGAAATGAAACAAAAGACTTGAACATGTGAAACGAAACAAAAGAATCCATTAACTATATACCGCCGAACAACCTTCCATTCGACCAAGTCGATTTCCCCCTTTCTTTTCTAGAATCGAGAGCGCTTGCATTCGACTGGGATGCCTTGAGGGAACCTACTGGTGTCCGCGCAGTAGTCGTAGATCATAAAGTACTTGTGGACCCACCTGAGCCGCCTGCGGCTGTTGGCGTCGAGCTCATTGGCCTGCCACGTGGTTCCGGAGGAGGAGGAGGGCCGCCTGATCTCGCAGGACGAGGAGGCCGAGGACCAGGTGCAGGCAGTGGCCTGGAAGTTCCTGTAGTACGCCGTGAAGGGCGCTTTCGACCAGTCCGTCTTGATCAGGCCTCCTCTCGTGGCCCAATCATCAGCATTCCAAAGGCTTGAGTATATCTTCATGGGCTGGTTCTTGGGGAAGGGCACACCAATTGACTCTGCATTCTTGAACACTCTAATCGGAGTGTTGTCCACCAAGAAGCTGAAAACCAGAAAGAGGGCATGTCAAAACATTGAGTTTGTCACAAAGTTAAATCGATTCAACTCACGATCCAATGTTTTTTTTTATTTCATATCAAGACGCGATCGATATACCGCTTTTAGCGACACTCACATTATGTGCTGGGGCTTCCAGATGACGGAGTACGTGTGGAAATTTCTGGTGGGGTCAAACCACAAGTAGAACTGTTGCTCTCTGTTGCCCTTCCCTTGAGTGAAGACGTTTGTGTGGAGGATATAAGGGTCGCCGCTCAAGTTCCCGAGGAACTCGAAATCGATCTCGTCGTGAGTCGGCCCTTGTGAAGACAGCTGCAATAGCAACAACAATCGGAGTAGCTCATGTCAATCCGTGCACCGTCTCGGAGAGTACGAAGATCCGTAAGCTATCGATAAGTCGCCATAAGATATGCAGGCAGATGATATCTATGGATGACTTGCTTTGAAATATATTTCACCTACTCATTGAATTTGCTTGGACTCAAAAAGGAATTGTTTTGGAATGTTTAAGAGATTTTATCTTTCTTTTTCATTGTAATAAATGGAGACACGGTATTCATGTGATGGACATGGTCCGATCTTTTTATCTGACAAAATTTCATCACCAAAACGTAGAGTTGTGCGTTTCAAATTGGTTCCAGCTTTCTCTTTCACCAGCTGCTTTTTGCCTTCTAAAGATGTCTCATGTGAGCCAAACCTTAATGATGTCAAAGCGCCAATATACACAGTCAAAAAACTATTCTTCCACTCAAAAAGATGCAGAAGAGAAAAAGAAGTCGTGGGCGATCATACGCTAGCTTGAAAGGTGTTGGTCTAGAACTACATAGTCTGGTAATCTAAATCAATCGCAAACCAAAACCGAAAGACAAAAAAAATTGTCATTTTTTTCCAGCTAAAACGACCTCGTACGTACGTGAAATTTGTTCCCTGCATAAAGTTCGCATGATACGATACAAACGATAAAGATACGTACGTAGTAAGCGGTAACGGTGCCGGCGGAGTTCCCGGCGACAAGCTTGAGCTGCATGTCGATCCGGCCAAACAGGTACTCCTTCTTGGACCGGAAGCCCGACCCCGACACCTTGTCGAGGGAGAGCGACAGGAGCTGACCCCCACCGAAGATCTTGGCCCGGTCGCCGCCACCCCACGTCACATCGAAGTCCTGGTAGAAGTTCCCGGCTCCTGCTTCAGCAGCAGCCATGAATAACAAGCTCACGAGCACCATGTAGGAAGCACAAGGACCTCCACCTCCATGAGCCATGATTGAACTAACACTTTGGCTTGAGAGAGAGAGAGAGAGATGGGTGATGTTGTGAGGCCTTTGGTAGGGCTTATGGGGGTATATAAATGCAAAGAATGGACGGGTTGATGTGAAATATAATAAAGCAAAAAGAAGGAATGGGATGGGAATGATGCTTGAGAGAGAGAGAGAGATCAAAAGAGACGCGTGAGGCATTAAGTTGGAGAGCCAAATTTTAAAAAAAGAGCTGGTGCCAGCTGAGCAAAATAATACCATCAAAGCTGGAAACTTTTGTTTTGTGGTGGTGTTGGTGTGGAGTGGTCTTTCCTCATGATTTCCTGGTTTTTGATTCCTAGGAAAAGCAAAAGGAAAACACAAGCGTTTGAATGCTCACAAGGTGTGGATGTTAAAAATCTAACACCAAAGGGTAACCTGAGTTGGTTGAGCATCCACATTAAATTGCGCCTCAAGAAATGCGGGCATAGATTCGAGTCCCGACGAAAAGCAAGTTCGCTCCTGAGCGACGCGATTGAAGAGCACTGTCGTGACTCGAGAAATCGGCTGCGCTCGATGAGAGACGGGTCTTACGATGCTTGACTTGTGCTGATGAGGGAACACGACGCGAGTTCACCGAGAGAAATTCGGCGTGCTTTTCGTCATGTAACGTTTCGGTGGCGACACGAAATGATATCTGCCTATCAACATGAATGCGACGACATAACACGACACGACACGAGTTATGTCGGCCGATGAAAAGATTCAAACAACCAACCTCATGAAAAAGTCGTAGATTTTCAATAACAAATTTAATCTCGTGACCATCTTACTATTTGTTCATCTCGTCGCCTCGAGATTATATTTTATCAACTATGACAAAAATCCCTCTCTTGATATGATCCTACATTAAGTAAAGGTTGGAGGCAATTCACATCGTGTCAGTCGATTTTAACTTGATTTGGAGTGATCATTTTCTGCAAATAATTGAGTATAGTCTTTTGAGATGATCTTATGGAGGGTGCATTATTTGATGTAACCTTTGTTTTGGTGGGTTCTATTCCTAGGGTTTTAATAGAAACCCGTTGTCTCATCATTTTGTTCCCAAACAATCACATGTAGGGCCCCTTTTTCCCTTGATTCAAAAAATAGGAGGTGGATGACAACCGGGTAAGGTATGGATGAAATATATGTTACAGAAAGCTTCAAAATTTCTCATGTTCCATTGGACCACCAATCATATGTGGCCTCGGCCATTCACGGCGCGCCACCTGGCAGAACGATATACGAGCCGCTCTCCGAGAAAGGAAATCGCCTATGTAATAATCGGAAAATCACTAACGCGTGTGGATCTATCTATACATTAGTGGGTTTGCATATGCGATAATCGAGAGAGAGCGACCGAAGAATAGTCGTCACGCTTCTTGCGATATCACCGGACGCACCCGTGTAGATGCGTGTTGAGTTTCCACCCGAGAAAAGAGAAAAAGGCAATGACACAGTTGGCTCAACATGTAAGCAAGATGATTCCCTCACTCAACAGAGATTTTTTACACGATGCTCGTGAGCAATTGGAGAGGACTAGAGATGGCAAAGTTGCCCCATTAACAAGGGTCCCGAGAGACCAGATGAGTCCATTGATGTCTTGTCGTTGAGCAGCGGGAGATTCCTCCCTTCCTATCCACTTTCCTTCGCCTTGGTTGCATTCAGAAACTCATCGCGACAGAAGGCAACGTCTTGTCTAAAGATGACCTCCAATGGAAAAAATAAAATAATTGCTCTCCATCGAAATGTCAATGAGTTTTCCTGTTGTCCTTGATCTCGTGTGTGTGTTGTCCCCTAGCTCTATCATTAGCTGCCTTTGGAGTGTGATGGGGTTTGCAATTTCGCTTCCAAAAGATGACGGAGGTACTTTGTAATTTCAAGGCACGCGGCGGAAATTCGATAGGGAAATCGCCGCGAGAAAGCTTGAGTCCGAGCCGGTTAATTCGTCCGGTCGGACGCACATTTACTCAAAAGTTCAAGCTAACAAGTCATGATCTTACTATGATGTATCAGTTGCTCCACACGGTAACAAATCTTCGATACAAGACTTTTCTGACATAACTCGCACGCTCACCCCGCAACAAAATCCTTAAACTCTTCGATCTCACGTTTTATTCGATATCTCGGCACGGCAATGGCCTAAAGAAAAGGGAAAGATATCTTGGTTTCACGTTTGTAAAAGAGTCGCTTTTGCCATCGTCGTCTAAACAAAAATTCAGTATGAGACAAGTGACTGTGCTTAAAAAGAAAAGAATCAGGGTTCAGAGAGAGAGAGAGAGAGAGGGACGAAAGGGTGGTTGAGACTTGAGAGAGAGTGTAGGGGAAAGGGTGGGCAATGAAGAGAACATCTAGCTACCGTCATAATTGATAACCCTCGCTTAGATTGTAATGAAATTGTTAACAAGACGCGAACGTTGAGATGTTACAAACAAAATTAATGGAAGAAAGTCGCGGATTTTGCAATCAAGGCTCCATCTGTTTCGCGGAAAATAAATGATTCAGAGAATATGTTTTTAAAAATGATCGCTCGTATCGCTTATAGAAATGAACGAACGAGACATATTTTCATCGTCCACTATAATGTTTATACATAGATTGTCGTCGATAGTGAAAACTTTTGTTATTTACTGCTTATTTCAAGCTATATAAGTGATAATATTAGGAAAATGATTCTTAAATCGTTCATTTTCCACGAAACTAAAGGAGCTTAAGGATAGAGATAAAATGGATGGGAAGCGGCTATTAACATGGAATTCAATACCTTCAAATGTCACTCGGCATAAATTGACTGAAAATACCATCCGATCGCTACGAAAGAATTAAAGAGCTTCGTTGGTGAGTGCCCTCGCAGTGCCCGTTAAGTAATAAAAATGAGGAAAGTCCTATAGTTTTACCTGGGCAAAAATACACCAGAAGTGCCACAACTTGTGTACGGAAATCACTTTGGTGTCATAATTTTTTTTCGGATCACTTTGGTGCCAACTTTTTTGAAAAACGATCATTTTAGTGCCAATGCTGACGTGGCTCGTCGGAAATCCGATGTGGCGCTGACACGGCTCGCTGGAGAGGTCCATGGCTCGCCGGAGAGGTCCAGTCAGCATTAAAAACCAAAAACGACTCCGTTTAGCCTGCTGACATGTACTTTTTTTAAAAAAATTATATTTATTTATTTAAAAAAAAGGTTGTAGCAGCGGCGAGGGCTCTCTCGCCGATGCTGCAACCTTTTTTTTAAATTATTATTATTTTTCTAAAAATTAAAAAATTCGAAAAAAAAAAAGCCACATAATTTTCACGTGTACAAGTCAGACCATTTTTTTTTAATATAAATGCCAGGTCAGCTTTTTGGCCGGAATCACTAAAGTGATCTATTTTCCTCCGACTTGGCAGCAAAGTGATCCGAAAAAAAGTTATGGCACCAAAATGATCGCCGTACACAAGTTATGGCACTTATAGTATACTTTTGCCGTTTTACCTGTAACGTTTCCTTCGGGTCACACGTAACAACAACTAAATAATCTCAAACCAAATGTGCTCAATAAGTGCTCGGAAGAAACTCGTTAATGGGAAGGAAAAAAACAAGAGCGGTCGGGGTTGCGTCTTTGACCGATTTCGTGTTGAAATAGGCACATCAAAGGCCAAGGTGGATCATAATCAAAGCTACGCGACAGCAGAAGAACAGATGAAACCCGTGAAGCACTCGAGAAATGGCCATTTTATCAAATTATATGAGCCCCTCTCTCTGTCTCTGGTCATTATATTTATGCCATCCACCATAAGAAGTTCTTCCTTATTCAAGCGAGAATTCCGTCCATCGAGTCCGTGTTGGAAACTTTACACCGACCCATCCACTGTTATCCACTGAGATCACTTGGACGATAACCGTAATTAATTTAAGACGGTCAAACTTTATTTTATGAAACTTAGCTAATTGGCGGTGGTGGAAGGAGACTATATGTACATAAAGATCTACACCCCACTCAAATGCAAGTCGGGGTGGACAGACATGCGAGACACGGATAGCACCGACTCTGATACCATGTTGGAAAGTTGAAGTGGAGGAAGATCATATGTATGTAAAGAGAATACAGAACCCATTGTCAAGAGATGTGAGATAATATTTCGACAAGATTTAAGAGATCAACAAGTTACTTTATGATACTTTCGGTTAATATATCTAAGGTAGTCTTTCCCATCGTCAAGGGGAAAAAAAAGTAAAAAGACAAAGGTTCGGATACTTTTATGAACATAAAAGAGAGTTTTGTTGTTAACCATGTTTTACTTTTAATTGCTTAAGTGGCCCATTCGGATACAAAATTGAAGCTCAAAACCTGCACCAACCCCATTCACTCAATAAAAAACAAACCCTAAAATCCATGGTAGAAATATAAAGGGCTCAGCCCCCAACAACTGCAGTTTTAAGATTGTAACGTGTCAGGGTCGATAAATAAATGGCGGGTGTCTCGATATACTTGTTAAGCATACTAAATACCGAATGTTTGTTATTTTAAGACTTTGAGAATAAGACGTTGAAAGCAAGTGTCCCGAACTGATTGTTAAGCATAGTAGACGCTACTTAAGCACGGCAATCAAGATTGGAGAAGTGAGCATGAGGTCTCTCTCTCGACCCGTCGTAATCATAGCTTCCGCCTTTTCCCCGTGTGATAATTAATCATATGAGTTCAAGCATCGATGCCTATAGATTCTTTGATCATTAGCTTTGTGTATAATATAATCTCGCGGTCTCTAAACAAATTTAAAGTAGCTTCATCAAGTAGAATATATTCCTGGGATTATTGAAAAGTCGATCAAAGGTGGTTGTGTAAAGCTATAATAAATCCTTCGTAGCTGCCCGAAAGCCGGCATGCAATGGAAAGGTTCTCTTGCGGCAGGAGAGATGGGCCAGTGGGAGCGAGTGGATGGCACTGTGAACACGGAAACAGGATTAGGATCACCACCATCTAAGTCCATCAACCGAACAGTGATTGGCGGTGCGAATCGCGCCGGTTGGAACCGAGCTAGCCCTCTAAATGTTGATTATCA